GACCTTACCCCCCAATAGAGGAAAAAGGGAGGAATGTAGGGCCCCATAAAACCCCAAAGGAGACATTCCTGAAAACATGGCGCCTTTCCGGCTTCTCTTCCGGGTCCTAACATTCCCGCCGGCGCCAAAGTATGGCCTATCAAAATCATCACCTGCCCTTCCGACCAATCAGCCACGGCCCCACGTACTAACCACCCTCTCCTGGAACTCAGCTCTCTATAAATGTATGCTTCACCCTCAAATAAGGCAGAACTTCTCCGGTGAACTGTCAGCTCCGGTCCTGTCATTCTTTCAGGAAGTCCAGAAGCCACTAAAATTCTCTTGACCTTTCTCTGATTTTCGGAGCCCTCTTCTGCTGTTCTATACAGGTGCGCCCTGGAGAGCTCCTGGCTATTTTGTTTCTCTGATTTAAATCTAGGTGGTACTTTTCTTCTTTGTGCCAACAACAGTGGGGACAACTGCTTTTATCAATTACTATGTCAGTGGAATAGGTTGGCCCTGCCGATTGGGACTAGGATAAACTGGACCCCACCGCTCCTCTTTTCTCTTTGTTTGTTTGCTTGGTGAGACGTTTAGTTGAGCACCGGTAATCTGAATAAACCTTCCAATCCTTGCACCAGCTTTTGGACTTTCAAGTCATTTGTTTAGTGCGAGAGGGCAGCCGAGCCTGGTGTGTCAGTAACAGAGTCAGGGTACGGTTCCTCCCTGTCCACCTCCCCAATTCACCCTGGCTTACATCCCATTTGTACTGACTATGTCTGTGGGACGGGATTTTCCACTTACTTCAAAAGTGCAGGCAGATACTGAAGATGTCTTGACTGAGGTTATATTTATCCTTTGAGGAGTTATAACCAGAATATTTGGACATGGACCAAATTCAGAATAATCAAGTTCAAAGGGACTAGGGCTGTGAGCAGTAGCAAATGGCATTGTGCTGAAAAATACAAAGTGTAGTCATAAAGGTGGGGGATTTAATCGTGTCCCAGAATGATATGGCTGTTAAGACTTTCCAAATGAACAAGAGAGTTGAGACAATAATCTTTTAAGTGAAAAACCAATTTGGCTTTCCTTATCTAAAGGTGAGAGTGTTAGAAGAAGGGCAATGTAGTTGGGGTCCAACGGTAGGACTGAGTCGCTGGGCTGAGCTCCAACCACCTCTGACTGCCCCAGAAATACTTATCCTCCATGGGATCTGGTCTGTGGCAAGTCCAGAGATGCTACAGTCATTTTTCCCTTCTAAATTGTCAAAAATAATTGTCCTCAGCCCATGCTTCACTAATCTGTAGATAGAATCCATTCATTGAACTATACAACAAGGGCTACAATTGCTACTTCCAGTGAAAACCCAGAAAGCCATACCCCTGCTGCCATTTGAAAGTGTATAATTAGCTCCCTGTTCAGCCTGACCCCACTGATTTTTCTGACGCACTTGGCCTGTAGCGTGCCCTTTCTGAGACCTTCAATATCTTCTTGACAGCTGGAGATGCCCGAAACTGCACGCAGCACTTCCTGTGGGCGTGGCCTTGAGTTCTTAAGGCTACCAGGTCCTTCTGCACGTGGAACGGCTCCAGTGTTTCAACTGCTCAGATTCACAAGGTTTTTTAAATATAAGAGTAAGCTATGCACGCCTATATCAGATATAAGTGGGTTTTCCACTTAAGGCTACCAGGTCCTTCTGCACGTGGAACGGCTCCAGTGTTTCAACTGCTCAGATTCACAGGGTTTTTTAAATATAAGAGTAAGCTATGCACACCTATATCAGATATAAGTGGGTTTTCCACTCTCCTCCCTTTTCTTTTTAAAAATTATTATGTAATGGTGGGGTGGGTTAGAAGGCCTCCCAGATCACGTCATTAGCTATTCTCAGGAGAGGAAAGGCAGGGTCCCCCCCCCGGGAGATGACAATGCTTGTTTCAAGTTGGGGAAGAGCCTGTGGTTCTCTTCCTGCGTTTGGGGGAAAGCAAACACACAATGTTCACTTCCTAAATAGGGATGTGCTGTGCTGGCAGGTCATTTTCCACCATGTCACATCCTTCTGGCTGAAGGCAGCAGGGGCCAGCACAGGAAATGGCAAATTCTCACAATGAGACAAGGCTTTCCCAGGGCAGCCATTGGTTCTCTGGAACTATAAAGCACTGTCATCCAGAAACAGCCTCAGATTTTTCTTTCCTGGAGGCGGCCAGAAGTGAATGGTAAGTGGAGGACCTGGAGGCATACTATTTGAAAAAATAGCCACGGGCCTTGTAATATTGGGGTTATAGCCTTGGTCCATTATGTACTTGGGATGACTTTTTCTCGTTTTCTCTTTTTACTGGGAAACTTTTCAGTGGTGGGTTGGGTTATGGAAGCAAGCAAGTGAAATTAAGACCTATGCGTGAGGAGACTAATATTCTAGACTAGGCTCTGTGAAGAATCAGCTGCCTCTAGAACACATCTGTGTTTTGATATCCTCATCTGGAAGATGAGAATAATGATTTCTGCCCTGACATCTCACAGTTTCGAAATGCTCTATTTCTATGGCTTATTTGCCACCTTTAAGCAGTTCCTAATAAGTAAGAGTACAGTGGATATGAAGGTGGGAACCTGGCTACTAGGAAGAGTGTACTTTCCCCCAGATTATAGAGTTTTCTTTGTTAGTCGTTTTCAACTGGCTTCAATTCAACTTGGTACAAGGTAGCCCTGAGAGAGTTCTTGAATAAAAAGTTTGGTCCCTTTATTTTATTCAACCATTACTCATGTTTTTTAAAAGGAAGCTTAAGATACATATGGCATTAATTTAATGTACTTTAATTAAGCACCCATTAAAGATTGAGACTTCTGAAGATCGTATGAGCCCTAGTTAGAATAAATAGTGCAAATCACATCTTAAGCTTGCTTCTAAGATAGCAGCCTGGAAGAATCACAAGCAGGCAAGCATCTAACTAAAGATTAGTTCCTAATATATGATAGACAATATGACTTTTGAGGTTTTGGTGACTTGTCTTTTTCACTTAGAGAGAGATAGAGAGAGAGATTGAGAAAGAAACAGCGTTGCAAAAATCCTAGGATCCGAGTCTTCATATAATAAAGGGCCTTTGTAAAACTGGACAACCTACCACTTGTCAAGTGTTATCTTTCAAACAGAGCAAAGATCTCAGTATTGGAGTAGCCTTCTAATGCCTACCCTCCTTCCCCCACGTTTAAATTTTGTTGAACAGAGAGTTAATGAAGTCCATCGTTAGCGTTCCCTGGGAGAGAAGCAGAAGACAGCGTTATTCCTATTTGCATACGCGGATAGAAGGTCCTGAGAACTCGTGCGACTTGTCCCCCATTGCAGACCTGGTCTCTGACAACTCGACACCCGTTCGCCCTGGCGTGGCTGTAGCTGGTGTGTGGAACTGTTGATGACGCCCGCTGGCGCACGGGAAGCGCGCGAGGGAGCAGCGGCAGACACCGAGACCCCGAGCTAAGCGCGTGCGTGTCCCCCCGCAGGGCATGCAGCGGCTGGCGGCCTGGGAGCCTCAGGGCGCCTGCGCGCTGCGGCGCTTCCAGGGGCTGCTGCTGGATCGCCGCGGCCGGCTGCACGGCCAGGTACTGCGCCTGCGCGACG